ATCGTCACTATTTATAATATATAAAAACATCTATGATAGGATCGAAATCAAAACCATAAATAATATATTTCTCAATAAATATAATCAAGTAACTTGTTATAAAATCATTTTCCATTCTATTATATGCAGTTTCGTTTTGAAAATTTTCATAGTTTATTTTTTTATGAGTGAAATGATAATCCGTTGCAAAAAGCGATGTTAATTATGAACTTATTTTTAAGAATGTCATGTTGGACGTGGACAAATATTCCTCTTCCTAGAGAATGAACAAATAAGAATGAATGCAAAATAGGGTGTATACACAAACTAAAATGTGATTTATAGAAGAAAAAATACATAAATGGCATATGATCATAAAACAAGAATAGTAACAAGTAAAAATAAATAGAAGAATCTAGTTGGAAAACAATTTTATTGAGCTTATCAGACATTATTGTTTAATATTGCTTTTAAGATTTGATTGATGTCTAATATTTGCATTTGGTGTTTGTATATTTTGTGGTTGTCTTTGGGTATGATGCATCTAATATTGTAGAATTTGTTTCTGACTTAGAATTCTTCATTTCCTGTAATATTAACCTTAAGTTTTTGTTCAAACCAGGAAATGATTCGTTTGATGAGAGAGAGGCGTTTTCCTGCTGCTTATTGGTTCTATATCTAGTGACAACCTGTTCTTCAAAATGGTCATCCATGTCCACAGCGATTCAGCATTTCGACGCTATCAGAAAGAGATGAGGTCCTATTTAAACTTAAGCTTGTAATGTAGTGATTTATCTGGTACTTGGTCGACGTATATTATGGTCTATGTTATTCCTTGTCATTTTTTTGTTATGCATGTTCCTTGAATTTTGTGATTGAAAAACCTTTGGTATGTTTCAGGAACAAACCAGGATTGTGGCCTCTATATCGAGGTAATTGTCTTTCTTTTTGATCTTGTTTTGGACTATTTTTAAATTTTTTCCTTTTAACTTTTCCTCCAGGATGCTGAGGGTTTAATTGTGCTCAACATAGGCAGCTATATGGGTGGAGTTGATCTTTGGCAAAATGATTATGAGCATGACGATGATTTCAATCTTCAGTCCATGCATGACAAAACGCTTGAGGTGATGATTTCAATCTGCAGTCCATGTATTATTTTTTGGGTTAATTTCATAGATATCTCTTCGGCTATCATTTAATATCTCTTAAATCTGTCTCTCAATTAAAAAAATCGTTAGACTTGGACATTGCAGCACTTTTGTTACTGTCTCCAAATTTATCCCCAGATCTCTTCGATGCTGTTGGTTTTGTTAACACTTGCATAAATGATACAGGGCGATCATGCCTGGAAACTAGGTCACGGACATTATCTACTTCTTCAACATCCCAAACCTGGAAACCAGACCGATACCCCAGCAAGAGAACTTGCCGGGTGGTGCTTCCTTCCCATTCTAACTTGTCAAACCCAGCCCCGAGCACCTTTATTTTGTGAAAGTGAAAAGTGAAATGAGTCATGTCCACTCCTGGATTTAAAATACATGAATTTCTAATGAAAAAGAATCTAGAAAGAATTAATTCTCAATGAGAGAAATAACACACAAAAAAAGGGTATAAAAGGACAGTTGAAAATACTTCCACTGTTCAAACCCAGCCCCGAGCACCTTTATTTTGTAAAAGTGAAAAGTGAAATGAGTCATGTCCATACAGGTATATAAGATATATGTGCACAATGCATTGCCTACCTTTTGTAAAAGTGAAAAGTGAAATGAGTCATGTCCGTCATTTCTGAAACCTATGTTTCCATGGAAACTTACACAAGAGAAGAATGTCTGCGTCAAAAATGGCACCATACAGGTATATAAGATATATGTGCACAATGCATTGCCTACCTTTTGGATTTTTAACTGCTAGTTTTTGTGATAGAAGGAGACTCGAACTAGAATCTCTTTAATGGGAAAACGCAGCCTAAGCCATTGGAGTGCCCAGTAGAAGGAGACTTGAACTCGAACTAGTTTTTCCAAAGCGTCGTCAAATCTGTCCAGATTTTTCAAATTCTAAAAGACCATTTTGTGCGCCAGTTATTTCTTTTAAACAGTGGCTCAACTCACGCATTCTTTTGTGCATGCGTGCATGTTTGTTGGTTACCGGGTGGTTTAATTTTGGTCCTCAACAAAATTTGTCTATAAAAGAATTCTAATGAATATATGTGTTGGGAAAGCAAACCATATTTGGAAAGATTTGGTTAGGCATGTGTTGTCGTCTCGGAGTTAAGCTTTTAATTTTTATTTTAATAGTTATTTTGATTTTGCTTTCTCTCTCTCTCTCTCCTCCCCCCTCCCTCCCTCCCTCACACACACACACTGATGCTTTCTTTCTATTTCAGATACTGAGTGTACAACAGCTTTATAGAGTATGCACGCTATCTGGTACTTTGGTCGACGTATATTATGGTCTATGTTATTCCTTATCATTTTTTTGTTATGCATGTTCCTTGAATTTTGTGATTGAAAAACCTTTGGTATGTTTCAGGAACAAACCAGGATTGTGGCCTCTATATTGAGGTAATTGTCTTTCTTTTTGATCTTGTTTTAGTTCCTATTTAAAAGTTTAAATTTTACAACCCGAAGAATTTGTCCCTTCTGGATGGCCTAAAGGACATTTATTTACCCCAACCACCTCAAAGGAAGATATTTAACGCTTGACCATAGCTGAATGTTGTCTGCCACGTATTCTCCATGTCCATATGGCTAATTCTGTAATCAAATTACTTCAACAAGGCTGAGCACTTGTTGAGGGATGTGAAGGATACAACCATTAGCACCCTTGCAACAGAGGTATTCTTTCTTTGCTGTTCTGGTTTCCTTTTCAATTGGACTATTTTTAAATTTTTTCCTTTTAACTTTTCCTCCAGGATGCTGAGGGTTTAATTGTGCTCAACATAGGCAGCTATATGGGTGGAGTTGATCTTTGGCAAAATGATTATGAGCATGACGATGATTTCAATCTTCAGTCCATGCATGACAAAACGCTTGAGGTGGTGTGCATTTCTGGAGCATGGCACCTTGGCAAACTTCAGGTACAAAATCTTGGTTTTGTTAACACTTGCATAAATGATACAGGGCCATCATGCCTGGAAACTAGGTCACGGACATTATCTGCTTCTTCAACATCCCAAACCTGGAAACCAGACCGATACCCCAGCAAGAGAACTTGCCTGGTGGTGCTTCCTTCCCATTCTAACTTGTCAAACCCAGCCCCGAGCACCTTTATTTTGTAAAAGTGAAAAGTGAAATGAGTCATGTCCACTCCTGGATTTAACATACATGAATTTCTAATGAAAAAGAATCTAGAAAGAATTAATTCTCAATGAGAGAAATAACACACAAAAAAAGGGTATAAAAGGACAGTTGAAAATACTTCCACTGTTCCAAACTAGCATGAAAGCAGAGATGGAAGTAAGAAAAGACTATGGGGGGCCATGGCCCCCCTACTTTTATGAAAGACATTATTTGCCTTTAACGCTTTAAAAAATATATATCTCATTTTCCCCCAATCTTAAATTCTCTATTTTACACCAAAAAAGCTTATTAATCCAATTTAAAATTACTTCCATGGTATTTTTTTTTTAAATGTATATATGTATGCTAGAGTATGGTGAAAAAATTTTATGCAAAATTTGGCCCCTCTAGTGATGAAGTCCTGGTTCCGAACAATTGAAAATACTAAAAAAATAAATAAATAAAAGAGAGCTCAACTAGCTACAAGGGCAAAAAATAGTGTTACCACTGTATCCATTAGCTTCTAGTTCTAGACATATATAAGTTACAACAATACATTGTCTCTCTATCGATCCTCAATCCGTCATTTCTAAAACCTATGTTTCCATGAAAACTTACACAAGAGAAGAATGTCTGCGTCAAAAATGGCACCATACAGGTATATAAGATATATGTGCACAATGCATTGCCTACCTTTTGGATTTTTAACTGCTAGTTTTTGTGATAGAAGGAGACTCGAACTAGAATCTCTTTAATGGGAAAACGCAGCCTAATCCATTGGAGTGCCCAGTAGAGGACACCATCAAAACTACACTACAAGAAAAAGGACATACAACGACGTTTTTTTTATGACGTTTTTCCAAAGCGTCGTCAAATCTGTCCAGATTTTTCAAATTCTAAAAGACCATTTTGTGCGCCAGTTATTTCTTTTAAACAGTGGCTCAACTCACGCATTCTTTTGTGCATGCGTGCATGTTTGTTGGTTACCGGGTGGTTTAATTTTGGTCCTCAACAAAATTTGTCTTTAAAAGAATTCTAATGAATATATGTGTTGGGAAAGCAAACCATATTTGGAAAGATTTGGTTGGGCATGTGTTGTCGTCTCGGAGTTAAGCTTTTAATTTTTATTTTAATAGTTAATTTTGATTTTGCTTTCTCTCTCTCTCTCTCTCTCTCCTCCCCCCTCCCTCCCTCCCTCACACACACACACTGATGCTTTCTTTCTATTTCAGATACTGAGTGTACAACAACTTTATAGAGTATGCATGCTTTACTGTGATGACAATTATAACTTCTTGTCGTGTAATTTGTTTTTTATGCTTGTTACCGTGCTGAGCTTTTTCTAAGAATTCTAATAGAAATTTTTCATATTTTTATTGTATGGCTGCAGCTAGAGCTTTTTCTAAGTTCAGGAACTGTTTCTTTATCCATCTATTCTTTGGTGGCCGGAATATTTGGCATGAATATTCCATATACATGGAATGATCATTACGGCTACATGTTCAAATGGGTATGCCTAGAATTTCACCTGTTAAATTTGGCAATATATTTGTTAATTGCTAGTTTTAATTTTGACTTAAATGCTCATTTCCTTGATGGCACCAGGTGGTCATCTGTGCAAGGGCATTTTGTGCCATCATTTTTGTACTTGTCATTTCCTATGCTCGTTACAAGGGTCTTGTTGGATCTTGAAATTCATAAGTTGTGTCCTGTTAGACTCAGCTTTCTTGGCCCAATATATATGGCAGGTCAGTGCACATATTTCTTTTCATATTCTCATGCCTTGGGTTGGTTTGAATAGAGTCTACAATTATACACTTGACCCATGTGGTCCTATTTACATAACAGTTGGAGATGGCGGAAACATAGAAACAACTGATGTTGATCATGCAGATGACAAATGTCCACACAGAATACTTACCAGAAATTGTAGTGGCATGTAGTGCTGGCAACTCAGGTCCAACTCCTTCAACTGTCACTAATGTGGCTCCATGGATCATCACTGTTGCTGCAAGTAGCATTGATAGAGTTTTTCCTTCACCCCTTGTGCTAGGAAATCAAATGAAAATTCAGGTAAAACTCTAATTTTACACACAATATATATATATATATATATATATATATATATGACATTAGATCCTCTGTTCCTAGATCATTACATTGCCTTATCTCAAAGCACTTTCAACCATTATATCTATATGTGAAAATCTCAAGATTATGGAATCCTCAAGGCATAATCAAATATCTTGAAACTATCAACTGTGTATTGCTGTCGATCATAACTGCTAGCAATCTTCATATTGATGTTTATAATCTTACTTTCACATATTCTTAGATCCCAACAAATGGAGCTGGTTTGATAGAGTACAGGTGCCACCCATTTTGGTCCCAGAAATATTGCCCTTCACATGAGTATGATAACACGGCCCGATGCTGCAGTTGTGAGCGTTTGGAGGTACTGATCTAAGCTAGAATTTGTTTTTTATTTTATTTTATTTTTCAAAATGATGATTTTTATTTTTATTTTTATTGTTGATGTTGGTTCCCCACTTCTTCCCCTTCTGAAGTCTTGGAATGTAAGATACGTATCTCTAGGAGATGGACGGAGTCCATGTTTAGAGTGCATGGAATCTTCTATCATGGATACTGGTGATTGCCAACCACTCTACCATGCCATTAGAGACTACTATGAAGGAATGAACATGCAACTAGACCAGCAAATTCCGATGCTTCTGGTCAAAAGACAAGCCCTTAATGAAGCTATTGTAGGCGAGAAAAATGTAACAAATGAATTCTCTCCATTTTTTACTCTTGTAAGTGGCAAACCTTGGTTAATGTTATGAACTCTTATGGACACATCTTCGTTTTATACAGATTACTGACAGGTGCGATTCTTGCTCATGAGTTAATGTGTGGGTGGTTACGCCTTAAAGGTACTACATGAGTTCCTTCTGTTACTTTTCCTTTTTTCTTTGATTGAGGGTCATAGAAGACATGTTGATGCATGACAAGAACATTAGAGCAACTTCATTGATGTAGTATTTAGGTGTAGCAGTACTAAAGAAGCACAACACAACGTAAAACACTCCGACAATGTAGAATATGGTCTGCTAAAAATAGCACATATTTTATACCACACCAGTGGAGCAATTTACAAAGAGACGTCTCACCTACCACCTTGCCCTCTCTACAGATTTGAAGAATTAATATTGTGACTGCTAAAGAAAATCTTTTAACTGAATGCCATCAATAGCTCATATTGAATGCTAGTGACAGTGATTGACTGATTTTATTCTATCTTTCCTTGTCGACACTTGTTTGAATGAAATAAACCATTCTATGATTTTACTTCATAGGTTGATATTCATTCTTGGTAAAAACTCTCAATTATGTACCCGCAGACTGTATGTTCCTTTCTTCTTGTTTGTTTGAGGTTCATTTAAAATTTAGGTCTATAGTGCTCTATTCTGACCAGTGATTTGTAAATTGATTAGTAAGATCGACATTTGAGAAAATGATATTTTTTCTTCTGTCTCTCCAAAAGTCATATTCTAGGTAATTGTTGCTTCTGGAGCTGTGAAGCATGAGGACTTTGTTGAGCAAGTGAAGAAGTTGTTTACCAAATTGTCATCGGATCCAACCACAACTTCTGAATTAGTTGCCAAAGGGCCAGCAATTTTTTCAGGATTTTTTGTGTTAAAATCCTTTGATTTTTTATTTCTCTTATTTTTTCTTTTTTTCCTTGGATCTGACAGTGGGTGTTTTGGTTCACTTCTTATTTTTTGTATTAAATGGGGGAGTGGTGAGAGAGAGAGGAGGGTAATGTTATTTTGTGGCTTTGTATATAAGGTAGTAATTTTTTGATTGAGAATTGTGAATTCAATTTTTGGATATGTTATTTTGTGGGGAAATTAATGCTATATTTGTTATTTTGGGGGAAATTAATGCTATATTTGAATGGGAAAGTGAATTAATGTTATATTTGTTATTTGAATGGGAGTGTTATTATTTCATATTAGTGTTATTTAGTTTTATTATTAATGTTCTTTTAGTTCAATCACATAAAATTAGCACAATTTCAAAACCAAAAAAAAAGAAAAAAGAAAGAAAGATAAGACGGCGTTTTTAAAATGCCACTATAACGGTTGGAATTTTTAAAATTAAAAAAGCCTATGAAGGCGTTTTAAAAACGTCGCTAAAATCATGGTGACGCGACAGTATTGTTAGGGCAGGACATTTGGCGGCGTTTTTAAAAACGCCGCCTATACTAATACAGCGACGTTTTCCAAACGCCATAAACTTATAGCGACGGCCGCGTCGTCGGCGTTTGGTACTAAACGTCACAAAAAGAATTAGCGACGTTTTTGGTACTTATAGCGGCGTTTTTTAAACGCCGCTAAAAGCTTAATTTCCAGCAGTGTTTATCTCTTGAGGAATCCAAAGTAAGCACTGAATTGGAATCCATAGAAGTCAGGCTTCTAGTAGGACTTGGATTGAGTAAACTATAAAAGAGAGGTACCCCATAGGTCTAAGGTACGCAGTTTTGTATTGAGTAAACTATAAAAGAGAGGTACCCCATAGGTCTAAGATACGCAGTTTTATACTTTGAGTAGTGAGTTTAGCATTTGATTATCTTTGAAAGATATACTGACTTGATCGTCAGAGTGCCCCCGGGTGGAAGCCTTTTCTTTCTGTTACAGGTTTGCTGAAGCCATCTATTCTGCCGGTACTCTTCAGCTGATTACTAGGCGGACAGTGTGGTCAGAAAATTACCCACACACTCCAAGTTCAGAAAAGACCAAAAATGAGCATATCATCTACATTCAATTAAGGTGAAGTCTTTATTAATTAAGATTCGAAACTACATTGTCGAATTGTTTAATTTTGTTTGGATGCTTTCAACCAAACGCTTTAGTTTTGTTTGAACACCTCCAACCAAGCAATCTAATTTTGTTCAGCTGTCATCGAACAAAAGACAGAATAGAATATCAAGGAATACCACTATTCCGTGCTGGGTATTGCATAATCCATTGGTCACTTTATGCTACAAAATAGAGTTGTAAATCATGCAATAATGGTTTGTAAAAGACAAGAAGATGAACAATAAAATTGAGATGAGTGTGTATTGAAGATGATAAGTGTTTTAGTGAGTCCGCAACGATGATATAGGTGTTGCTTCAGAATGGTGAGAATGGTGGATGCCTATTTAAAGTTTTGTCCTTCTAAGTAATCTCATTTTAGTGGGGACGGGTCCGTGATTTGAACTTTGGAATGGTAAAAACATATGAAACTTTTTATCAAAGAATTTATTATAAAATTTTAAATTTTGATTTGTACTAGTACAAAAAAATAAATAATATTTCTATTAATTGAACATTATTTGTCAACTTAATTGAAAACAAAACTATAATTAGACTTTTTTTTTTGTCTGCATCAACTTAAAAAAAAAAATAAATAAATAAATAAAGAGAAGAAGTAGCTATTATTATGTCTCTATCTACTAAAATTAACTATATGAAAATGTTATAATCGTCACTTTTTATAATATATAAAAACATCTATGATAGGATCGAAATCAAAACCATAAATAATATATTTCTCAATAAATATAATCAAGTAACTTGTTATAAAATCATTTTCTATTCTATTATATGCAGTTTCGTTTTGAAAATTTTCGTAGTTTATTTTTTTATGAGTGAAATGATAATCCGTTACAAAAAGCGATGTTAATTATGAACTTATTTTTAAGAATGTCTTGTTGGACGTAGACAAATATTCCTCTTCCTAGAGAACGCACAAATAAGAATGAATGCAAAATAGGGTGTATACACAAACTAAAATGTGATTTATAGAAGAAAAAATACATAATTGGCATATGATCATGAAACAAGAATAGTAACAAGTAAAAATAAATAGAAGAATCTAGTTGGAATTGTTGAGGTTAGCTATGATGCTCTGTGCATTTTTCCGTTTTGTTGATGTAAACTTTGCGTGTATATTGTTTTTTTATCAATAAAGCTTTTTTGTTGATAAAAAAAAAATAATAATAATAATAATACAGATTACAAATAGCATATATCAATATTTGATAAAACTCGATTTAGAAACTATTTTTAAAATTTTGTAATATAAATAATTTGGGAGTGCAAATCTTTATAATTTTAAGGATGCAAACTGCTGAATTTTTTGAGGTGTGAAGTACTTTAATTTAAAATTATCTTACTTTTTACTAGTATAATATACATAATTTAAAAAAAAATTGGAGGTCCGACCACAATCCCTACCAGCCCTACACCATCCTTGCATTTTAGGATAAAATTTTTTGAAAAAAAAACCTGAAAATATCCCCCTAAGAAATTATGTGGGTTAATAACAACTCTTATTTGACACCCTGCATAATTGGAGGATATGAAGGATTAGTCATTAATTGTTAGTAAAGGAAGGCGATGATAAAAATTTAGGGTATCAAAGTCTTTTCCATAAAATTTGAATCTATAACTTTACACTATAAAATAGTGTTACTGTTGGCTACACATTTTGTACTAAGCCAGTGACAATCCGACACGTGGCGAAGTGAGGGTAATATGGGGAGACCAGGTAGGTCTTCGATCCTGATCATACACGTGGCAAATGAGTTGGTAAGCTATAAAAAAACTCCAAGGATTAGATGAATTGGTAAAGTAACGGCTTGGGTGACCAAAGGTTCTGGGTCCGAAACCTCTACCAACCTCTTTATAGCCCTTGACTGAAATTGGAAGGATGAGGGGTGGGTTTCTCAACATCCTCCCCCGGGTTGGCTTATCCGGCCTTGAGAAAAATAAAATTGCATAAAAAGCCATCATTAGGTCATGGTAATGTCCCATACGTATGACGTAGTAGAAACATGTAACAAAAAAAGTAGGATGATGATCTTAAATTTTGCTCATTGATCAATAGTGAATGCTATAAGTAAGATAATTCTTTAGACCCATTGATAGATTGTAATGCCCCCAATTTCATAAGATACGACTCATTAAATATAACCCATTGTTACCATCCAATTCCAGTTGTCATTTGTATAATTCATGCGGAAATGATAACTAACAACGAGCATCAATTAGCTGTATGTAGGATAATAAAACCTCTAATCCTTGCATGTCATTCAATCGTTTCAAATTAACATCGCATGCATTAACAAATTCATAACTCTACGAACTTGAATCTATAGTATGTAATTACAAAAGATATGACACAATTAAATACAAGAGAAATGCCTTAGTGGCCACAAGTTTCAAGGGCCTTGTCTGATCACAACAAAAGTGGGTTTTAAATCCTAAAATATCTTAGCCCATTGGCTTTACAAAACAAAATAAAGAGAAGACCTTGACGCTCCAAAATCCTCCAAGTCATTATCTTGGCGGAGGCACAAAATTAACACCTGAAAATGGTTTCCACATAGGGATGACTATAAAGCCTAGCTGAGATAGTCTTAATAAAGTGTATGAAGTTTAACAATATCATGAGGTGAATCAAATGAAATGTCATGCCAAAAAAACATAGGTTTTCTTTCCAAAATTTCATGCCATGCACTTTTACAAAAATCATAAGCAATTCAAAGGCTTTCAATTTAATAAAATCAGGGCCATAAATACGACTCTGATAATCTCTACGTAAGACGTAGGAGACAAGGAGAAAATGAACGTTTGGAAGAAGGCGTGGAAGGAGAGGTGGAGACATTTAATCCAGAGGATAATGTGATAACACATCCTGTGGAGACTCCTATCCTATCGGAACCCATGGTCGAACAGACCAATACTTCAGAGCAAATACCATTTGTTCGTAATAGTGGACGAGACCAAGGAATTGGACCATCCAGTGTCCCATCTACTCAGCCAGTCAATCCGTGGGGCGGCTTGGTAGATGCCATGGGACAGCAATTAATAAACACAATGAAAAGGTGGGCAGTATCCTTTTTGGATCGAATGAATAACCACCAACCAACGAATGTAAGACACATAGAGGAGGTGAATGTCCCTCAGCAAAGATTGGCTAGAGACAAACAGCCTATGCAAGCTAATGGACATTCTAATGGTCAAACCAGTAATCAGATTCATGAAAGGTTACCACCTCAGTCTTGGTACGAACCCATTTCGAGGCCTGTAGTAGGCCAGAATGCCTCATTATTCAACAGTGAAGCCATGCAGATTGGTGGATCTGGCCCGGTACAAGAAAATGGCATAAGAATGAGTCCAAATCTCACATTCGAAGCCATACCTGGCACTAGGGGGTACAATAATCCCGTATTCGAATTTATACCTGGGGGGTTGGAAGGATTTCCTACAAGTGGAAGGGATACAATACCTGTCCCAGCACCTTTCATGGGTCCTTTCGCATGACAGGCTCAAAGAGGTTACCTACACCCCCAACAGCACCCTCTACCACAGGGACAACCAGTCCTAAATGTACCACCTTATGGACCAAGGGGACCACAAGCACAAGGTTGTCCACCAAATCCTGTGTTTGTTCCCCCAGTGGTGGTTCAACAGGCGCAAAATATGGTCCCTAGGGACCAGATCACTGAGATAGTTAGGGAGTTGTGTGGACCAATGGCTCGGGGGGTCCAGACCCCTGTGTATAGAAAACCATACCCAGAATGGGGCGATAGGGGACATGAATATCCAAGAGGTTTCAGGATACCAGATTTTGTCCTCTTTCATGGGAACGGAAACCAATCCACAGTAGAACATATTGCTAGGTTTGCCGCTCAGTGTGGTGAATTTACCAATCATGACTATATAAAGTTGAGACTATTCCCAAATTCTCTAACCGGAGGAGCATTTGTATGGTATATTAACCTTCCACCTGGCTCCATCCAGACTTGGCAGCAAATGGAAGAGGCATTTCATGCCCAGTT